ATTCTGTTTTAATTATTTTTTGTTATAGCGGGAGCAGATATACATAATCTGTGAAAATTTTGCCCTCATTTAGCGAGTATAAAAATAAATTCAGTACTGTAAAGAAAAAAAAAAGAAAAAAAATGAAGACAGTACAAAATGCATTTGAATAGTTTGTTGCTTCTCCGCCTTCAGTTGATTTTTATAAGAAGGGCATCAATAAATTACCACTGCCTTGGCAAAAATGCATCAATTGCACGGGTAGTTCTTTTTCGTTTTTTTTAATTCAAAACTGGACAGCACTTGCCATACCACCAGATGTTAAGTGGTGATACAGCCGTTGATGGTAAGAGCGCTAGCTCAGCAAAAACTTATTCACTCTTGCCTTGAAGACGCCTACGCTGTAATCGGACGGAAAGACGGACGCTGGCAGGTTGCTCCATTCCTTAACTGTACGCATGATAAATGAAATAACATAAATTGAATTAATAATAACATTTGAATAAGAGAAATAAAAAGTTTGAAAAAGAATACTTTAACTTCTTTGCATACCCAACGGTAATTTCATGGATAAATACCTAATATGAAGAGTTCAAGACGTAACATGTAAACTTTTGACAAATAAATAAAACAACAATTAAAAGGAAATTTGTTTGGTAAAAACTACGATGCCTTTATTATTTAACGGTTACAAAGGTATAAATAGTTAAAGTATAATTTATTTAAATTTAAACAAAATATTGTAAATTGCCTGAAGCATATTCCATTAATATTCATCAAACATACGCTTATTCGACAGTAGTTTGAAAACCGCACTAAATATCGAATAAAAACGCCTTCACAATATCGAAAATCCTTAATGTTCACTACGACTTACCAAACTAATTTGTGCTGTGTGCAGATATTTTAAAATAATTTAAATGCTATTTTTGGTATATTGACTTTGGCATTAAATATTATTTTATGACATTTAACATTAAATATTACTTTATGAGATATAACGTACTGGCTTGTTTTCATAAAAAATTATTAAAATTATCAGTAGATTAAGGAACATTTGTAAAAGATATAGAATGTCTTATGAATATAACGTTTAAAATAAATTATTAAGGCAAAAATTTGGCACATGTTTTGATGATTTGAATTCTGTAATACGCTGTAATCTCAAATCTTTCTTCCACAAGCTTATTGCTTTTAGTTTGGCATATTATTATTAAACACCTACATAATATTTAAGAATTATCGTTTAATTAATTATATGCTATGAAAGAACTTTTATTTAAGGTAAATGTATGCAGTGAATGTATTTACGTACGAGGAAAGTGGGGTACATACCCCACAATATACCACATAATTTTTTTAGGCTACATAAATAACTATGGCCTAACCTATAAAAATATTATGCCATAATTCAGGCGTTTAAAAATGTAAATATGTACTGATGTTATTGTATCTACTGCTACGACTTATGTATAATTAACTAGTCATTAACTTTTAATTTATTAGTTCTTGACATATGAAGTTGGCGTTTTGACGAACTGGCCACTTCGATCTATCTGTGAAGTGAAGTGAAGCTAGGAATTCAAAATATAAATTTATATCAAATTAAATAAAACAAAATAAATCACCAAATCTATTTGGTTTCGCGCCCTTTGAATTTTCTTTGCACATCGATCAGTTAACAATAGAAAAAACTTAAAATATTTCGTTATTTACGAATGCAGTGAAACCACTTCTGCAGAAATAGATCGGAAGATTAATGTGATCTGTATGAGAAGGTTACTGAACGAAAAACGTGGTACGTCATAGTTAGAGGCTGGCTTCGGTGAGAGTAAAAAAACAATTTTAATTCACTTGAAACAAATTGGAAAAGTGGTGGAGAAATCTCTCGACTCAAAAACGCATTTGTTAGTATTTTTAATGCTGCATTAGACATTACTCAACTATCGTAATAAAAAGGTAATTTTGAATAGTAATGTTACTTCTAACGGAAAATGGATCGTTTACGAGCCCAGAAAAACCGGCTAAATATTGTCCCAAGCGAAAGTTGACTTGTTCTGGTTAGAACATTACGGCTGAACAATGTTATCAACATTTGCAAACCATGATGGAAAAACTCACAATTCAACAATCGAGACTGGTGAACTGCTCTAGCCTACTGCTGCTTCAGAGCAACATCAATGACACAAGAACAATGATAGACGGTCCCTAAAGAAGAGAAGCTGCGATTGGAATGTCTCCGACTACCACCACACTACCCCCGCTCTGTTCCAACAATTTATCCTCAATTTGTACAATTTATTGTAAGGAAAAAAAAACAATTCCAATGGAGTTAATACAAAGATGTTGTTGATTTTCGTTCCCACAATACATTAGGAATGAAATCAATGAACGAGATATAAAATGGTGAAAGTTAATGAATAATACTGGTTATACGTGCTCAGCGGTAAAGGAAAACATCGTGAGAAATCCTACACATTTTAGAAATAATAACGAAATAAAATATTTGTAATACAAATATTTGTAATACAAAACAGAATATATGTGAAGTCGAAGTGAGAGAAGAAGAAGCCAATCCGCAATGTACAGAGGAGGCCTATACCCAGCCGTGGGACATTTGTTAAGCTGTTACCTTCCTTTAATTTTTTCACATTATACGCCAATTTCATATATCAGGAGCTTTAGTTAGTATTAACTAATGAGTCATGCGAAATAACAAAATAAGCATTAGTTAAGTTAATGATTGCTCGTGCGTTATTTTAAACGATACGTAACTATTTTTGTTTTCCTACAATAGCAATTGTTACTACAAAACTAACTGAATGCATATATAAGAAAAGAGACCAAGGACATTAAAATAGTGGAACTTAGTTTTTTTTATTCATGAATAAAAAGGGCAAACGAGCAGAGTGCTCACTTAATAGTAAATGTTTACTATCTGCCCCATACACTCGAGGGCTCAGAAATGCGTTTAAATAGTACTAGTAGTAGGGAATATATAAATATAGTATTACTATACATAGTAATATTTATTATAAGTTAAAACTATATTCTTAACACTGTCTAAACGCATAAAATTGTGCACCGTAATCACTACTAAATAGTGTCGCAGCTTGCCTCTTGCTCTTGCAACGGTTATATGTCGTTCAAATTGTTTCGTGCTAGTGCTGCCACAGCTTGATGCAAAAACTAAATGCATTATAAATCCTGTATAAAAATTTAAATTGCAAATATATTTGTGGGACAAATTACCTAACCCGTGTATATAAGCGGAAGTTAGATCTAATGAAGCTGGCGATGAGTGTACTCGTATTTTTCATAGGCGTCAGTGATTTCATAGGTTAAGACCAAATATATTTAATTTTACAGTAAAAACCAAATGTATAGATAAAAATTTTAACCTACTTTTTTATAATCTTTTAATAAGACATGCTTCTTAAAAACTGCTGATACTGAATCATATGTATTTAATTTTACATTAAGTACACGTCCACATTATTATAAGTATAAATATTAGAAAATTTGAAAGAAAAATGTTAAGAAGAGCTTTAGCCACAGGTCATTGTGCTACTTATGATAAAAAATTAGTTTTTCTAATAGTTAATATGTATATGAATTATACATTAAGTTTAAAAAGAGAAAATTGTTTATTTAATTGCTTAGAGTTACTGCAATATTGTTAATGATTTTATTTGGAAAATTACGAGTTTATTATGCACGCGCACACCGACAGTGAAAAAGCAACTTGATGAAGTTAGTTACAATGCGACCTTCGACCTGAACTTCGAATGTAGTGGATTGCCTCGATATTACCATGGCAACCAATACTTTTTGACATTTACCTTTAATTCAAAGTTATTTAAATAAATTGTTACATACTTAGTCATTGAGAATGGTTTAAATAATTAAACCGTTATCAATATCATTCAATTTCTTTTTCACAAACAAAGACAGGGTTTAATTTTTGTTTTTTTGTTACGCCAAAGAAGTATAACTTCTTGCGTGTGTACATATAATTACACGAATACTTTTTCTATATGTAAGATGTCTGTATTCCATAATCATGTTATTTCTATATTCCGATACAAATATTAAATTATGTTTAAAATGATTTAGCATTTCACGTACTGGCCTTCACTGGATTAGTTTTTAATTATTATACTTATGAAAGTGCAGTCAATACTAAGTTCACTGTTCCATGGTCATTGCAACGCAAAACATTCTAGTTGATAGGACCTATGTATATAAGGATTAATATTATACGTCTTGACACTTATTTGTAAAGATCAGTAATAAATTACAAGCAATGCGACATTCTTAACATTTGTAGATACATACTTCTGTTATTGCTTTATTATTCTCAAAGCGTTATTTACGGAAGACTGATTATGTTACCAATTATATTAAAGCTAATCTTTATAAAAATTAGCAACTACAAATATGACAAGTAAACATACTCATAAATATAACAAAAATTGTTGGAAATATATTTATAATGTGTAAATAATTACCATGCATTATAAAATGACCTTTAGAACATATAACATATACTCAACTTTCAATAAAACAAGAGAATCTACTAAATGTAACACTTCACATGTCTCAAAATTGACAGAAATAAATAATCAAATTAATAAATAATAAAGGAAAGCGCGAAATATAATTAATTTTAATTGAGAATCTACCAAACTGGTTGATCATCTCAACCGATTTGGTAGATTCTAAAATGCATTACATTTAAGAACTGATTAGTAGTTAGAGTAAATATGGCCTGTTTGAGCTTTATAAAGTCAGAGATGGAAAAAGTAACTTAAAAACTATACGATAATTTAATTAAAATTTATATAATTAAACCCGTGTACTGGAAGCTTACAAACACATCAAAGTCGTCTGAATTCTAGGTTTTATACGTTCAGGAAAATAAAATATATTTATAACTGGTACAAGTCATGTGTGTTGTCAGGTGTCTTCGAGATGGTTGAGTGACGAAAATTATTAACGCCACTCTTTTGCAAGGATCACACATGTGTAAAGCTGGCATGGATTGTGTCGTCTTGGGAGATCTGGGTGCTCGTCGCAAAGTACTGAAAAATATTATTAGTAACATTAGAATATTGATTTCAATAAATGATGAGTTTGTAGCAGGAAACGTGAAAGTAAAGGGATATCATAATTTTATAATATATTACTTGAAATTAGAATTGAGTATGTTGCAATGTGTTAACGGCTTGTCAAAGATAAGAAATCTTATAACGAGTTCTTTTGCAAAGATAATAGGCAATAACGATTATCATAAAAATTTATAGGATGCAAGTATGTGTTAAACATATTTTAAAGGGAAACACGATGCTTAACTTACACCCCAGAAGCATCGCTCTAATAAATCGGCCGATGCATATTTCTCACCAGTTCCCTCCCTAAGAGGAAGTCAGTGTACTGAATAAAAAGAAAGAGAGAGATTCAAATTATAAAGAGCATTTAAACTGTTTCAATATTAAGTGCATAGTAAATATTTTTTTAAGAATTGTTTAAAAGTAAATGAAATAAAAATTCTAAGTAAAAATACCCTAAATGAGACATGACATATTGATAATGAAAGCTTGATTATAATATACAAAAAAACTAAAGTAATACGTTTTAAACAAAACTTAATACATAGAAACAAAATGCTTATACAAAATGCAAGTGCTATCGCCATTCAGAAAATGTATAAATTCGACTAAATTTCTGAAAAGGTGTCTTTTGGTATTGTAAAGAAGGCTCTTTTGGTATTGTGTTAATATTCACTATTTGTATTGTTCTTGTTATATTATATTTAAAACCTCTAAAGCTTATTCAGAGCAAAGAATGTCAGTTTCCTAGTGATTCTATTATATGTCCATCTGAGAAACGTGAATGTGCGTCGAATAATACCTCCCAATTTATATATCTCAGTTCATTATTTTGTCAATTTTAAAACTCATGTTATTGTAGTGTACGATATTTTACATTATTCAAAGATTTATTATTGGCTCTGCTCTATTATGAACTTTTTTATCTATATAAAAAGTTCTATTTATTTTCTATTCTAGTCTTTTATTAGGGTTCCGTACCCAAAGGGTAAAACGGGATTCTATTACTAAGACTCCACTGTGTGTCACCCAGGCTGTAACTCACGAACCGTGATAATAAGGCAGTTGAAATTTTCACACATGATGTATTTCTTTTGTCGCTATGACGACAAATGCTAAACAACAGAATAAACAAAATATTTAAGTGGGGCTCCCATGCAGCAGACATGATGTTTTTGCCGTTTTTACGGATAATCGGACGCGAGTCGTAGAAGTTCTTGTCTAGTGTATGAACACGCTAAGAAGAACTTGAGGTGGGTGAAAAAGTAGACGAAATGGGTGATATATAGTGGTCACTAATTTAGAGTATAAATACAAAATTTTATAACAATCAGGCTATTATTCACTGAGATACATTACAATAAACAAGACAATCGATAAGAAAATTTAAGAATTGACAAAATTCAGCTTCGCGCAGTAATTGAGTTAATTTACCAAGCATGGGAAAAATCCTCAGAGTACTTTGGGAGCGACGCCTTATGAAAATGAAAAATGCCTTGGTAAAACAATGATTTACAAGTGACACAACCTTGTTTAGCAGGGCTGGGAATATGGATTTAAGATAATCTAAGGTCTGAGCAATCTCGACATAAAACGTTAAAAAACTTGAAAAAAGGGTTTAGGCTTGAGGCTTATGTTCAGCAGTCGACTCAAACAGGCTAAAATTACATAATAAATAAATTAATTAAAAGAAAGTAGTGAATGTATCAAGGGTTGACAATTGATTGAGAAAGATTTTGAGTTATTTTGATTATTCTTTACCCTCCATTCCACGAAATTTTTGACTCACCGTCGTACATATATACAAGTCCATCTTAAAATTTCAGATATTCAAAAATACTAACCCCGGCGAAAGCGGTTCCATTCCATCCAAGGCGGTCAAGATCACGCTGCGGTGTGCGTTGTGAAGGTGTTTTGTGTTGCGATCGAGATGCCAGCCTTGCCTTAGCTTTTAAAGCAGCACCTAGAGGCACATTTGCCTGTACAGCTTCAGCCCGACCGTGTTGGCAGAACTCTAATAAAGCCACAGTTAAGGCTAAAGCTAATCCCACCACCAATACGTAAAATATCCCTGCCACTTGGCTTAGCGTCATTTCTGTTATGATAGTTTCCTAAAAATAAAAATCAACAGATTTGAATAAATGAATGCAAAACACAATGAAACTGATGAAGGTCTTATTGCACGCGAAGTCAACTTGAAGTGCCACGTCACAAATAAATGTTTACAACAAACCTGATCTTTAGCCATTTCGCAGTCGGGTTTATTATTTACGGAAATCCACTTTTGCCATAACTTCGACACCACTCCTTCTTTCTTCAGATTTACAAGGGCTATGTTTATTCCTTCTCTGAAATTAGAGAATATAGAGCTGTATATTTTATACTTTAACTCCAAGGTTGATAAAATTATGATTTAGTGTAATACTTAAACTAAGTTACAACTAACTGAACGCTTGGCATATTCTAATTGAATCTTAACTTGCATTCACGAGAGAAAGAGTGACGATTATATTTCATAATGTAATAAATAGACGATGTTTTAGTAAACATTAACGATTGCAGAAGAGCTGCATCCATTTACTTTATCCTTGAATGATGCAATAATTGACAAATCCGTATGCCGCCTAATTGTAAATTAAGAAAGAAATATTAGGAGAGAGAATAAAGACACGAAGACATAAATTTCAACGCGGAGACCGACAAAGACGTATGCATTCATCCATTCTGCTCTGCAAACTCCCCTCGTTGCCGTCACAATTTTCGAATCATAAAAAGACACTCGTGCGGAATATTATAAAATGTATATTTTTTTTAAATCACATCCACACATCGTGTACCATAAAAAGCTACGGTAACATTTGGAGTGCGAGGTGCTCCCCACTTTTCCTACTGACGGGCCCCATGTAAATTTACGACTATTCAGTATTCAACAGGGAATTACCGTAGAGGGGCGAGATTTCAGCCGGATAGTGGGCATTCTCCAATGTAGTGGAAATTTAGACTGAAGTTTGTAATTCGATTTTCGATCCGCGTGTTAGCCGGCTTTGCGCTTTTATTATCTTATCCTTTAAACGAGCAATTCTTGTATATATATATATATAATTGGAATCTCGGAAACGGCTCCAGCGATTTTCATGAAATTTAATATGTGCGTAGATTCGGGGGCGAAAAATCGATCTGACTAGGTTTCAGTTTTAGAAAATGTCGTTTTATCCCAGTTTTCAGGGAATGATAAAATATCATTCGAATACGACGGAAAATTTCACAAAAAAAAAATGTTATATAATATTATAAATATAAATTGCTGTCGGTAATCGGTCGGCCCCGAAACAGAAGGCCGTGGTTCATATAATTTTTTAACTTTTCTTCGATTCCAGATCATTGTTTTTTTTTATTTTTTGTCGATTTGTAATTTTTTCCCTTTTTTAAAAGTTCTTTCTTTTGTGAAAAACACCAGTTCATATTTTCTTATTATTACTTCGGTAAGATCGAAAAATATTATGCATATTTCATTACTCAGTAATTTGTATCTAAGTGTAATTTCCAAAATACACGATTTACCAAAAAAAAAAAAAAACACAAACCGAGCAAAACTCGGTCCTTCAGGTACTATTTATGAAACGCCGAAACTAGCGTATTGTACCAATTAATACTATTTCAAATAAATTGTTAAAAGATAGTAAAATTAATCGTAATAATAAATTTGTACAACTTTAGGTAAAACATTAATAAACACGTCGCAAAAAAGTTAATTTGTATTCCATATGTAAAAGCTGCAGTAACTGTTGTTCATAGCAAGTTATATTGTATGGCTGAGCAGTCAAAGAGGCATGTAGTTAGTACATCTTTCCGTATTCTTTGTTGCTATGAAATGTTTGAAATAACATCTGTTAATATGTTATAAATGTTTTAACAGAAACAGATGACCATTTTTACTACTTGCACGGTATTTACAGTTGAGTCCGTCTAAGGTAAAGACACATATTATTTCTATAAGATTACGTAGGTATTTGATAGATCTTGATCGACAGTGACCAAAAACATCATTTAATTTGGAGATACTATTCTGTTATGGGTCGAAATATTCCATTATATTATACCTGGTTTATTATCATTATATATATATATATATTACCTGGAGGACCGGTTATTTTTTGGTAAATCGTGTATTATGGAAATTAAAAAAATAAAAAATAAAGAAAGCAATGATCTGGTATAGAAAAAAAAGTAAAAAAAATAAGTTTGTATGATCATGACACGAACCGGGGCCTTCTGTTTCAGGGCCGCCTGAATACCGAGCGAGCTATTATAACATTATTTTTCGGCGAAATTTACCGTCATATTCGAATGATATTCTTCCTTCCCTGAAAACAGGGATAAAAGGACGTTTTCAAAAAATGAAACCTATCTAGATCGATTTTTCGCCCCCGAATCTAAGCACATATTAAATTTCATGAAAATCGCTGGAGCTGTTTCCGTTTATATACAGCGTGGCGTTACCACCGCGACAATAAATGAACACACATATAGAGGATAACTTTTTTAAATTGTATTAAACATTTACATTCTTTAAACATCAATATATACCGAGTTATTAAATTTTCCAAAACAAAGAATTTTAGAACACCCTTACGTATAAAACTGTAACGTAAAGTTCATTTGTAAAAGTCACAAAGCATATGAATGGGTTGAATGAGTTTAAAAGAGACAAAACATATTGTTAGAAGGAGAAGCTTGTAATGCGACGCTGTGGCGCGAGTTTTATAGGATGATACAAATTTTGTTTCTTTTTTACTTAATTACTTTGTTTGGAAAATATCTTTTTTTAATTATGGATTTTGTTTAACGTTAATATTTTTTTATGATTATTGGCAAGTATCGTTAGACGTGTGTTCATTTATTGTCGCGATGGTAACGACACGCTGTATATACTAGAATTGCTCGTTTAAAGGTATTAGATCGATAAATATTAAATATGTCATTTGAATGTGTTATATGAGTTTGTATTCAAGATAATTTTTCTTATGATTAGGAATAAAACTGTGGCATGGTACAAATAAATTTAGAAAATAAGAACTAAGTTTGGAACCAACAGAATTACAGATATAATAGAAATGAAAATTTTCGACCTTTATTGCTTCATTTCGTTATTATAATAATTATTTTTTTTTATAAAACTTGAAATAAATATCGCTTTATTTCTTCACTTAAATAAGCTGTATTTATAAAATCATTCGTTTATTGTTATACCTCCTTCATTATGATAATTTAGCAAATACGAGTAGTTAAGCAGAAATATTGTTTTAATAAATATACAGTGCGTAATAGATAGTTACCTGAACTTTAGAAGTGTAAAGATAAATATCATAATGAGATATCTTTGTGTGTATAGTTACATTAAACAATAAATACCTTAACTGTGAACCCTTAGCCATAGCGATAGCAAAATTCACATTCCTAAATCTGCACACGCTTGCCATGGAGTTACAGGCTTGCCCGTTCTTGCCAATAGCATGCTGGAATATACTAGTATCCTTTGGAATTAGTTCCGGGTCATTCACCAGGTTATACATAGTGGCAAGGGAGCTCTGAAAGTTTTTATGTATTTTAATATTTACTGTAAAAAAACTTCTTGCCTATTTGGACGCCACAGCATATTCTTACAGTGAAATTATTATAGGCATTCAGAATATTATAATCCCACCTCTATTATATTTAATTATATTCAAATGCATTCGAAACATTAACTTTGATAATTAATTAAATCACGCTATTATATTAACCTTTAAAACAGCTCTACATGAACCATACAACATTTACAGTACTTGAAATATTCATAATTATCATTAAGCATCATCCCGGGCGGCATAATGCCACGAACGCAGATCGAGTTTCCTCGTTGAATGGTAATACTTAACCTCTGAGCAAGAAATATATTTTGGTAATAGAATCTGATGAGAAGTAGGTTCCGGCGCCTTTCCGTAGTAGCGCATTAGTAGTGGCGCAGTGGCAAGACAAAATAATAAAAGTTACTTCGCTGCAGCAGCGGCGCATCGCTAAGTGATCACTTTTTAGGTTACCTGTAGCGCTTAAAATGTCATGTGTAGCTTACTTCGGTATGCACCTTCGTTGGATACTGGAGGGAACGCGCCGGCTCTGATATGCGTTCCAGTATGAGGTAAGCTGCCAGATTTGCAGTGTATGAACAGACCAGGATTAGGGCGAAAAACCACCAAACAGTGCCCACTATTCGTCCCGAAAGTGACCTTTGGATTGATGGAAGACACATATAAAATTAAAGCAGCGTTCATAGTCACGTTTTAACACACATATTTGTATACTGCAATAAATATTAGGCGATTTGTTGTATTTATATAATCAATTTTACTTTGATGCCTAATGTTATAAAACGAAATAATTGCTCATGCCAGTAGACATAACAAGGTGATTATCGAGCATTCTCCTTAACCCGCTTTTACTTCTACACACAATAAACTCTCCTATATATCAAGTACGCACGATTTAACTCGAGACATGGAATTTAATTTAAGGGTTCTCTGCAGCCTCACCGTAATATTGACGGCCTTAGTTTAAATTCAACAACATCGGCTACCAACATTGTTGTAACGTTTATCAAACCCGATCACTGGAAAAATTTCAAGGATCGTAAAGTTACAGATAGATTTTACTTTACCTTGGAACCACGTCGCTCCCTTGTTGCATAAACGATCCAAGAGAGAACCAGAATGAATTCCAAATGCTAAAGTCGTTGTGCAGGATGATCTAAGTACAAACGCAAAGTAAAGTTAAACATTTATTTATTTATTTTTATACGATAAATTAGGAAATTATATTGTTACTTATATGGAAAATTTTTCACTTTTAACGATAACAAGCTGTAGTAGGGCCACGCAACAGTGTTCGGTGATGTACGAATGGGCAGATCTGTCCGTGTTAGTACCACAACCTCACAGAAGACCGGCGTGAAGCAGAAGTGTTACTCCTCTACGTTTCGATGGTGAGTGAGTAAGCCGGGGTCCACTTTATTAAAAGGTGGAAACGCATCTGCAACCCTACGCCTACGTCGCAAATGACCATGGGCGGCGTTCACTTAACATCCGGCGAACCGCCAGCTCGTTCTACACTTTGTCACATAAAAAAACCTAAAAAAAAATTGCCTGCATGCAAGAAGTAACACTAATGTCTGTTGCATTTTGTTTATTCATATTGGAGTTTATTTTATTGGAGGAGTCCATCAATATCTTACCTCATTCGTTCTTGTTATTGGTTGTTCGATATGTGTATCCGTATCTGTTGACACAGAGCGCCATTCGTGTGGTGAGAATCGAGATACCAAGAAAAGTACTATGCTCACAGCGAAAAAGCTGAATAGAACGCACAGCTGTAAACATTTTAAATATATAGTAGGTTACTTTACTTTACTTTACAATATAGCAATATTAATTAATAATAATTATAATACGTCAAGAACATCAAAATTTATTAACTTAATATTCAATGCCACCAACGAACGAAATCTTCTGTTCTTATTTGTTATTATTATCACAGCTCTCTGCTAATTCGAAGTTATCATATATTAGCTAAATCAGCCGAGTGTTTCTTATTTTTGAAACGCATTTCCTTATCCCAGGTAACTATTACTTGTCGAATGAGAGCTAGGCCACAAAACGTGTAAAGGCCGTAATTATTTTAAATAAAAAAAAATATGTATTTTTTTCCCTTTGATATAAGAGTACTAGGTATATGCACGAATACATTATGTAACTATTAGTCCATATACCCATGATACCAAATGTTTAATAAAATAAAAAGTAAATTTTTATGTTTTTATTTTCATACGTAAAAAAAGTTTAATTGGAATTTTATCACTATTGGTTGATTTTTTCTTGTGTCTATTATTTAAAACTTATTTTATAACAAAATGAATTTTGTTCCAACTAGGTTTCTTTTTGACTGAGAACATATAAATATTCATATTTTTAATCATCATTTGCTGTAAATCATATAATATCATGTTCTATTATTCGGAAAACTGTCACGAACAATCTTGCGTAAGGAAACTTTTATCGCAAAATGTTTGGTTACGCTCTGGGCGACAAAGAAAGTTAGTTGTTGTGTATGTAGATAGGGGCAACTTTTGCTCACTACTGGCGTGTTCTTTGTTATCAGGTAGTTGGTGAATACTAACCAGTTCAAATTAAATATAAATCTTAAATACTGTTACGTGTTAGAGGTTCGAAGGATTTGAAGAGAAAGACCTGCTGACTCTTTTGAAGACTTTATTCAATAGCACTAGGTCCGACACAAAGCACTAGGTCCAAACACTAAGCACTTACGGTGTCCTGTTTTGTAGCCAAGTCGTAGGTTTCACTGGTATCGCTCTTGATCACTAGTTTTCGCTCCGAAGTCGCCTCGAAGGTAGCTCAAACTGAACTGTATTCGCTCGCATCCCCGCGGCTTTTTATATGGGCCGAGACCGGTTCCAGACTAATCCAGAAAGATCCTTCCTGGAACGTACCCGACACGCCCGAACATGTTCGTGATTCCGGAAAGTTCGCGAATGTACCCGGTTTTCGAGACTATAGTTCCACAGCAGTTCCTCTAACTTAAGGTATCCAAAGTGGAATCGTTTCGAGGTAACGGATAACTGTCCTTCTTAGTGACATCATTGAGACGCATATAGTCCACACAAAATCTCGTGCTACCATCTTTCTTCTTCACTAACACAACAGGTGAGCACCACGGACTTGTAGACGGTTCAATAATCTTATTCCTTCTCATGTCCTCCAAAAGGCCTTCAACTTCTTTTTCCTTTGCAATTGGTATCCGTCTTGCTCGTTGACGAATTGGTCTTTCGCTTCCGGTATCTATCCTGTGCTGAACCATCGAAGTTCTTCCAAGATCCCCTTCTTGACTGGAGAAGATATTCGCGTAGCGCTGTAAAAACTTCCTAGATTTAATGCCCTGCGAATAAGTCAGATTACTCTTGCAGTCATCGAGCAGCTCAGTCACTAATCCGTAGTTATTGCTGTTTGCCGAGTCTGCGCCTGTAACCGAACTACACTTTTTCATCCAGACAACTTCCTCGCACTTCCCAATGACGTCACCTTTGTTCAAGCAGACCTCGCGATCACCAAGATTCAAAACCTTGACCACAGCGTTACTGCTTCCACTAACAAGGGTTCTCGCCGTCATCAGTTTTTGCGCTGATGTCTTGGTAGGAGTACCTTCGATCAACACGCATCTGTTTTGACACCTTATTTCCAGCTGGCGGAAGTTTCACCAGCACCTGGGCTTCCGCTCGTCCAGGTATAATGACTTTCTTTATACATGCGACTTTCCCGCAGGTGCCTTCGAGAATGAAGATTTCTTCTTCACCGCACTCGAAAACTCCATCAGTGACATTAACTCTGCAGTTGTGTTTCTTCATGAAATCCAAACCAAGGATGCAATCATCCACAATCTCAGCCACAATGACGTTATGAGAGTATGATGACCCCCCTACATACATCGTGACTGACATTTCTCCCAAGACGGGTATTGGCTGACCGGAGGCAGTAAGGAGCCGGCAGTTAATTCTCCTCTTGAGTCCCCTTGAGGCTTTTACCAGTTTTGGGTTCACTATTGTTCTAGAGGCTCCTTTGTCTAGAGTCATTTTGCAATCCGACCCGTTAATAATACCCTGAATCACAAGGCTATTCCCAATGCATGCCTGGGAGATAACAGTTATAGGGGCTTCCTCCGCGTCAGCCAGTACTCGCCCCTTAGTACTAGCTTTTATTAGTTTCCCTGATCCCGGGCAGGGGACGAAGCCTCTCGCTTCTTCAGCTCCGCTATTTGTTCCTCGATCCATTTCATCCTTGCCATCTGGGTCTCCTTCTACGGGCAGTTGAGCTGAAGATGGCCCCTCTCGCCACACTTGTAGCACATGGCTCCAGGACTTCTCTTCGTAGGAGCCTTAACCTCCTTCATTTCCTCAGAGACCACGCGGATCCTATGGGTCTGCCGTATGTCGTAGCGAACAGCCTCGACCTCCAAAGCGTGCGCCAATGCCTCCTTTAGCGAGGTATGGTGACGAAGCCTCACTGCAGCTCTGACCTCCAGGTCTTTGATTCCGTCCACAAATGCTTGAACAATATTCGTGTCTACCATCTTGGTGTCGGCTCCTGGGTGTGCCTTCCTGACGAGTTTTTCAATTTCCAACGCCCATTGTTATAGTCCTTCTCCTGGGCGTTGGACTCGGTCACGCAGTTGGGCACGGAACACGTGCTCCAGGTGTCGCTCCCTGTACCTGGATTCAAGTGCCTCCATCAGGTCTTGGAACCCATTTCCTGTATGTGGCAGTGCTTCCAGGACCGACAAAGCTTGCCCTCTAAGCGCAACAGTGAGAGCGGTCAGGCTTTGCTCTTCCGTCCATCCGTTGGCAGTAGCAATAGTCTGAAATTGCCGACGATAGGCGTGCCAAGAAGTAGTGCCGTCGTATGGCGGCACTTTCACTCTTGGTCCTTGCACCACTCCAGTGGTACCACTAGACATCGTGACTCCCGTGGTTTCAAGGCGCACTACTTTCTTCTGTAGTTCAATGAGGCTGGTTTTCACATTTTCAACATCCAATCCTAACCCAGTAACTCGTTCTTCGACTACCTCGACATCACTTCGAAGCTTAATCACCGTGTTACTAACATCATTTATAGCCCAAAGCGCTTTTTCTTGGAGGTCTTTTTGTTGCTCTTGTGACGCTTGCAAAGCGCTGAGCTTGCGTTCTTGTGACTCCTTCATTGTCTGAATTTCAGCCCTTTGCAGCTCCATTAATGTAATTAAACTTCCTAATTGAAGAGCCACTTCAGGGGCTGTAGAAGCTGTGGTGCCGCCGGTGGGCGTGGCAAGGTAGGCGTGGCCAGTGGGCGTGGCCCGAGTGGGCGTGTCCCGGTGGGTGGAGTCAGTGGGCGGGCTTGCACAAAAGTGAGGCGGGGCTTGGGTCTGAGTGGGCGGAGTCTGAGGGGCGTGGTCGGTGGGCGTGGCCTGGTCGGTGGGTTCAATGGGCGGGGCTTGACCCATAGTGGGCGGGGCTTGGTCCCCAGGGGGTGTGGTCTCCGCAGCTCGTGCCCTTGTCCTGACACCCTCCTTGAAGTCCTCTCTCGGAGTCAATGGCATCTCCAAATCCCACTTCTGACACCAGTTGTTACGTGTTAGGGTTCGAAGGATTTGGAGAGAAAGACATGCTGACTCTTTTGAAGACTTTATTCAATAGCACTAGGTCCGACACAAAGCACTAGGTCCAAACACTAAGCACTTACGGTGTCCTGTTTTGTAGCCAAGTCGTAGGTTTCACTGGTATCGCTCTTGATCACTAGTTTTCGCTCCGAAGTCGCCTCGAAGGTAGCTTAAACTGAACTGTATTCGCTCGCATCCCCGCGGCTTTTTATATGGGCCGAGACCGGTTCCAGACTAATCCAGAAAGATCCTTCCTGGAACGTAACCGACACGCCCGAACATGTTCGTGATTCCGGAAAGTTCGCGAATGTACCCGGTTTTCGAGACTATAGTTCCACAGCAGTTCCTCTAACGCCATCTAGTATTGAATAGGGGGTTTATGTCGTCTTTGTTCTTTAGTGATTTTAATAGTTGACGCTAGATGGCGTTAGTTCCTTTGTGTGTTCATAACAATACCTTTTACGTACTAAAATCAAAATTTGAGAAATTTCTTTATGGACACATTTTATATATTGCATCGCATTGACTTACCCAGATCTCCTTTGAAAGCGGTCTTAGAAAGCTGAACGTATCAGAGCGTTGATTCGATGTTTTTGCATGGATCACGGGATTTTCTATTGACAGAAAAGGTTCGCTAAAGTCGACGATGCGTTCCCTGTCGGCTGTTATTGCTAAAGGTGCTACAGCCAAATCTGCTTCCTTAAAATAATATTGAATAATAGTTAATTTTAAAACAAAGTATTTTTGCTCTGTCTTACTAGCCTTATAGTGTTCTAATCTATAACACAAAGCCATAAGATAGGTTTACTACTATTTTGCTTGCTAGTTTTAACTATCATGTGAACGGTACGTTAGTGAAAATTAGATTGATAAAAACGTTATTACGATAGTTGCAATAAGATATATAAATGAATTTAGAAATGTTTTAATAGTAAATAGCGATTATACAAAATATTTGGCTAATAAGAAAGATTTATAAAAATTTACTTGTATCAGTTTTTATAAGATTCTACTAAACATGCGATTCATACCCATTCAATTATTTTCATCTAAACACTTTTTATTAATTTCATGTGATTAATAAAATTTTATCTTTTTGTGCGCAAACCGTTAACTTTATTACCAAGCTTACAAAACTTTCACCGTTAAATTTCACCGAAGTCATTTGCAAGGAAATTCGTAATTTAATTGTATTTACTATATTTAGGAATTGGTACACACATTTAAAACAAGCGTACCTTTCTAACTAATTCATTTATTAATCCCGACCAGGCATCATTAGAACTGGATGTTCCGGTAGTTTTTTCTTTAACCAGTCGGATTTCATCTGTAAACGAAACTAAAGTCAAGATCCTTAGTTTTCTATGTCACTTAATACCAGGCACGGTAATACTATCGAGATTATGTGAAGATTATTAAATGCCATATTAAAAAATTATCGCATACATTTTATCCTAAGTCTCTTTGCGATTAAATCGAATAGCTCTTTGCAAAATCCTTGAAATTGGTCTTCCTTTCGACTGTAGTCATTGAGCTTTTGCATCATGTAAGGTTCTTGAATCAAAGTCGTAACGATGTAAGTTTTATTTGGGTCCAAGGACGACGGCGAATGGAGTTGAATATATTTCGGCGATACCAGCATGAGGCCCTGCTTATCCGTCCAAGTTCCCACCTATACCAGTCAACAAAAAACATTAAATTTGTCAGTAGCATTTGACAATATAAAACTTTTGAAAAGGAAGATACAAAAAATAGCGGTTTTCCCAGTACAAACGTAAAAAGACAAAAAGTGTTTCATAACTAGTCATGATTATTGTAAAAGAATCCATCCCATCGTCGTATTTTTACATCAAAAAAAAAAATAAAAACTTGAAAATAATCCATGTTAATTCGTTTATTTATTTTTTATTTCGTAATTCTGTTTCCAAGAAATGAGGAAAATAGGCATTTTCCAAAGAACGCCTGGGAGCCGTAAAATTTATAAACATTACTGTTTTGTGTACAGTCGTAAAATTTTATATTTAGAATATTACAATAAAAACGCATTAAAGTTTATTTTCCTTGCTTAAGGTCTAAGATATACTCTGTGTTTGTTGCCTTTACTAAGAAGTACGTGATGGATCATAAAAATGTATATTAAAGATACACTTTGGACAGCCGTGTAGAAATGAGAGAAATTTTATGAATAAATTAACGTAAAAGTAATTTTCCTCCAGTGAATTTAATTAAATCATAATCCATAAATACAAACGGGAATATTAACTGAACCATACCTGTATCATTGCGCTTTCAACAGTCATTTCCACAACTTGCAACGTAAAATTATATCTGTGACCTTCTTCGTTAAATGAAATGTTACCCGTAATGCCCTCAATGTCCGTCTAAAAGTGATGTTCGGTTAATTAAATTATTTTTACATTAATCAAAGAAGTAGAAGAAGAAGTAAAATATTTTCATTCCGTTTAGGTGAATCGACTATTCCGCATACATTTAAGTAGAAATTAATGTTGTTATTTAAAAATGTCAACTAATGAATAGTCGTGTAATGTTAATATAAAAGTATAATAATGCAAAAACTGTGGCATAGTCTTTCGAGAAATATGATCACGATATTTATACAATAATCAGCGTTTCAATGAATATCATTGTCAACGCAAGCATTAAATTGTTTCATTTATCATCATATCGTTTGCATTTGTTCTTATGTGAATAAAGATCTACCCACATAACCAAAACCGCGAACGTCGGAGAATACTGGCACTACAAAACAAAACTTTCCTTAAATACGGGTTCTATTACGGACATTTATATATAAATTAAGTTAGTAAATAACGTTTGCATTGTTCTATAATACATTCTTTACTCAGAACTAGTTATCATCAATTAATAAAAAGTATGGGAGTTTGTGAAATATAAGATTTCACGTCACATGGTGCTGGACGTTACTATAGTTACTATAGGCTGACTTTTTTCAATAGTAAGGTAGTTCGTTTAATCTAAAATTTCTTCATAGTATAACTTTTCAGTATACGTACATGCTAAATCCTTATACTTTTGAAAAAAAAAATGGTGAAACGGATAGAATAAATCATTTTCGTCGCATCATTTTAATCATCAATAATACATTGCGACTGGTGAATAATTGTGTCCGTTTCACCCAGTAATGACTTAAAATGACATAAGTAAAAGACATAAAATGTGTTTAAACAATAAATTTAAGCTAAATTTTTTTAAAATTGGTTACAATAAAAATACCTTTTTGATTAATCTCGAGATTTTATCACCATGTTCAAAGGGTATGACCCAATTTTTTCCTGGGTTGCAATCTATTACTTTGGTAGAATTCGCTAGGGCCGCAGCGCGTCGCAGTGCACTTCTGAAGGCGTCGGGTTTCTTCCTCATTAGTCTTCCAAGAGCATCCATTAGCACTTGAACTCCGTCGTACATCAGAGCAGTTTGTGCCTAGTAATGTCGTGGAATACATTAAAAGATAACATGCTCAAGTAGTTTGTTTTAATTTGATAAATACTTCTTACGTATTCGGGGGTATTCCCTCGGATAAATAATTTTTTTGACAGCCGTTTTCAGGAATTAATAATTAGTTATGATATTTTTCATGGGATACTATTACGATTCCAGTGAAAATAAATGCCTAATACCACCCATGGATATCTAAAACATTATTGCGCTTGCAATATGCTTAATTAGGCATTAGGTAGTAACAGTGGGACTGCCTTAGCGCCTTAAAAAGTCCTCCAAGTTCACACCGACCTCCGAAAATGACTCACAGACGAGTCAGACCTTAAGTGGCTACTTCGTTGTACCATATAAAGAGAAGTAAATAATGTTCCATAGATTTTTTTCTTTCGTTAAAAAATTACTCAAAACACTAAATTACCTAAAAACTTATTATCGCACTCATAAACAAGAAATTTCAACGGACCGTTCAACGCATACATTATGATATATTACCACGAACACATTACGAATTTCTCCAAAACAATTCCGCGGCGAGGGCGTACTTAAATCTAAAAAGGCCGAAGTGTAACTTGAAACGACGAGATCATAATATGAAGTAATAATTTATTCGGGGTACCCCACTTACGGTTTCATTAGGGTGTACGCAAGTTAGTGAAATCTACATAAACGCGTTATTACTCGACGTTGAAATTTTCTTTGTGCGAAGCTATATTTACCACGTCGACGGCGACTTTACGTAGCTTGGGTTTGTCGTAAAATTTTGTTAATTCTGTAAAGGAGGTTTATAAATATCGGGCCCAATTAATAAACAACCTGAGATACATACGCTAACTCCAGCTATTATTACCTGGATCTGTATCTAGGTAACAAAACTAAACTTTAGGCAAATTTAAATCATGTGCACATTTAGTGATCGGATGCCTTTATAAATACTACATGATAGGTTTAGGAAAACTATGGAGAAGAGACAGAAAACCAAATTTTTGGTACCTATTAAGTGTAATAACACAAAAATTAATGCTTAAGTTTAGGCCTGAGTACGATTCTTGTAAAACATGTCTACTGATGATTCTAATTAAGTGAGTCTAAGTTTGTAAACCGCTTTGGTTATACAAACGCCAATACTGAAGAGAGTACAGTAGTGTACAGGAGATTTATGCGTGGAGAGACTGCAATGCGCACTCAACCGCATTTGTACTAAATGTCTGCTGGCCGACGTGGAGTTTTTGGGATATGATTTGGATATCTGATACGTTTATGTTTATTATTTTAGCTCATGGCTCCCATAGATGGCTCGACCTTTGTCATTATCAAGTACTACATGGGATTCCATTGTTCAGTAGACGTAGTCCTGATTATGTCATGGTCTGATCATCTTCATTTTGATATTTTATTTAATATAAAAATATAACTAAACATTCTGTCAAAATCCTTCCACCAAATGCAGTTCCGATAAGCTACGTTAAGGAATAAGTTTATGATCAGGATTTGTTTAATGTTCACTTGACCACTAAGTTTCCGAGTAGTCATTCGGCACAGGGTATGGAAAAACGTAATTCACTATGATATGAAGAGCTAAGCGTTGAACATGTGCTCTTTGCTGGCGAGGTGTTGTACAAAGTCTATCTAAGCATTTCAATCTATGCTTAAAATATTCATACCTTCCAGCTGATTCCATGCACACGGCTGTGGTTCCCATTTTCAAATAACTAACCTATTCCTCTCCTCCTACTCTGGGAAAAATCAGTAAAGTTTTGGAGAAGTAATTGCAACCGCAACTGGTTAAATTTTTGAAGTTTAGTGATATACAATTTGGCTATCGTCCCGGTCTTGGTATGGATTACCTGCGTCAAAATACTTCTGTTTATGCCTGTTTTCTGGACCTGAGCCCTAATTTTAATTTGGTTACTTTTCTGGGTTAAGCTACAGGCCTTGCATGTTCCGGTAGAATTAGTGCATCTCGTCTAGTATTGGTATGGAATCTAGAAAAATTATGTTAAATAGGACAACACGACATCTAACTGCTATAAGTTAGAAACCATGGTTTGTCAAGGAGGGCTGACATCTCCGGGCCTTTTCACCCAGTATTTCGATAGACTAATAGTGAGGGTCATCAAGAAAGTATACCATATTACAAACACTTGCCTTACTTATGTTGATGATATGGTATTACTCAATCCCTCTATTAAGAGTTTGTGTTAGTTGCTTTCGATCTGTAAGCATTACTGACATTGAGGTATAACATAAGTAAAACAGAATTGATTGTGTTTCGGGCGAAAGAATTACGACTTTGGGTTTGAAGCCAAATCAAACATCTGGGGCATATAATTATAGATAACTTGCGAGACCAAGAGGACATAGAACGCGTGAACTGAAAGTATATCTGTCTTCCTGTCAGAGGGAATATATTGGCATGCCTATGTGGTAGTGTGTAGCGATGAAGTAAAAGTAGTTTAATTTAATACTTTTCAATGTTTCTCCACTTGCCAGTTATAGGTGTAATATTATATATATATATATATATATATATATATGTATATATAAAATTACACCTATAATGATAAGTGAAATTAAATATTAGTCCCGTTTTTTAAATAGGTACACAAAAATAGTTATACAATTTTTTTTATAATATGACTGTAGTTATTTAATTTATGGGTGTTACAATGTCTGCAATGAAATGTTATTATTAATTAGAATGTAATATGCTATAAATGATGAATTTAAACATTGTTCGTTTCATCCTTTTCAAGTATAAAACGTATTTCTTTTTTTTTTTTATTGAAAAATTGCTTCTTATAATTAAATATGTTACAGTACCAAAATCCCTTTGGAATTTGGTATCTGACACAAAAATTTACAGTTTACAGAAAGATCGACAAAGACGATATAACAGTTTTACTCTCCAGGGGCTAAGGTAACTTAGACATTTAAAACGAAAGCTTTTAAATCACATGGCTAATAACAACTTCAAAAGATTTTTACACGTATCGGTGATGTTAATGTAATTTTACGATGACGGTTCGATTTCTTAAAATGAAAGACAGGTGGAAAATAGACAGCATAATATTATCGTTTTCTTGAAGGCTGTTGCTACGAGAGAGGAAATTAAATTAAATTTCAAGGGATTCTTTATCATAGACTGGAATTTTTGGTTATCAGCATCCATTCATCATACCACAGTATTTACAAAATATATAAGGAAAAATAGGCCGGATAAGTTCATAAACCATAATAAACTTAAAGGTTTCGCAGAAGGGCTACTTTCTAATTGAAAACTCGTGTTATTCATGCTGCGATAACATCACTATGTGAAATGTTCGACACCATTTTAAATTAAATGTTACTTTTAAAACTTTGCACATAATTTTTACTCATGTAAAATCTTCGTAATCTTGGGTGCTTTTCTGTTATGATTGTTCTTTAAGCAAATTGAAAAATGTATAGAAAATTTCAAATGAATACCTAATAGAGAGGACTAATGGGTGAATTCCACGTTGGATTAATTATTTGAGTAGCTCTTACCCACGTATCATGTGTTTAGTCCTGTACAAAACTTGTAGTATAAAGTTTATTTTTACTAAACAACAACAGTGATTAATAGAACATAAGAATTATATTATCTATGTAGGATAACACGATAATTCCTTTTATCCATGGCGCCAAGGTGTGAACAAAACACTTCTCCGCAATTATAATGTTATTAACTGATTGCTATAATTATTTTGAAGATATGTGAAGTCTGCCAATCTGCAGTAGGGTCGCGTGTAGAAAAGTATATTTAAGTATGTTTACCAGTTATCTAGTACCCATAGAACAAGCGTTGCTTAGCTTTGGACTAGAGAACGTTGAAAGTGTAATAAATATTAGGGGGGGGGGGGATATTCATTTGTTTAGTCGTCTGGTTGGGTTTATAAATAGAAAGTACCTGGAGGAGCTTTTTTAACATTTTTTTTGTGGCGAAATTTACTGTCATATTCGAATGATATTTTTCATTCCCTGAAAACAGGGATAAATTCATGATAATCGCTGGAGCCGTTTCCGAGAGTCCGATTACATATATATATCAAATAATTATTAATATATAATAATGTATACCCACATAAATAAATAATAATAATAAATACTATCTAAATAAAATACTAATCTAAATAATATCTATAAACCCGACCAGACGAGAAAACAAAAAAAAAAATACTTATTATTATTATTTTATTATATGGGTTAACTCACCGATACAGTTCCCTTGAAACGGGGGTCCATTCTCCGTAAGCCTTCCATGAAATCGCGAACAATTTTGCGGGAGTGATCCACAATACGAAAACCTGTAATGTTTACTGCGCCGTATTCAGTCACCTCGTTCTCCCAATGGTCGTCCATAACCTGTTAATTCAAATTTATTGTATTTAAATTATATTATTTATTTTTATATCGATTTTGATCTCTTTTGATTAAAATCACTATATATAATAATAAAGGAGCCAAAATGAAGCCCGATTTTGTCTTTAATATTTTCGAAATAGGCAACAACACAACTAAAATCTACGTAGAGGTCTCGAATAAATAGTAAAATGAAAAACATCCTAAGAGCGACCACGAGTTTCACGTTCCTCTCGCTCAAAACGATCGGACAATTGAGATTGCGTCCAATTGTTTGGTAGTTACACAGCGCTTGACGTTATTCGGTCTCGGTGCAGTGAAACGGAAAAAGGCCGAGCTTACCAGACCACTGAGCATGTAGTGATAGGTCCGCCGGCCCAACTGCACTTTCCGAACGTGCTCCACGAGTATGCTTTTCGCGTTTTTCGAGTTGCAATCGAGAACTATGCGCTTATTGCTCCATCGGTCATGCTGTTCCAAAGCCAACAGAAATTCCATTGCGTCCGATGCGTTATTAATCCGTTTCACCAGCGCGATTCGAAAAGTCGTTCGTCCCGGTTGCATGGTCTGGTAGAGTTGTTGCAGTCTCAGTAAGCCTAATAAAACAAAGTTTTACTATCAAATTTGGCTGACATAGATTATAAGAAAGGATTAAAATAATATCGTTTTAAACCGACAGCCCTAAGGGATGACTGGCGTGAAATTATTGAAATACGATTACGTATCATTACGACGCCGTTTTAAATGAACCTGAAAAAAATATTATATTGACATTGGCGAAAGCATTTTGGTGCCGCTCTATTTTCCAACTCTCCTAAACCAATTCGAGTCCACGCGAATTTTATCGAATTAAACGCCCCATATAAAACAAGCGAAACGAAAAAAGGACAAAGCGGGCACAGAAGGAGCAAAAAATAAAACTCTTTTACTCGGATCGCGCAGGGGAAAGTGCGGGCGTCGCGCACGTTATAATAAAAATGCCTAATGAAATGGATAAAATACGAAATATTTTTGGTAAACCATAGTTGAAAAATTGTCAGTGTAAAAATTTGAATACTTGTTGATGCAAAAACTATATTCGGTCATGTTTTAATATGTAAAGTTGGAATATTAAACGTCAAAAAAACTTTTATCTATCTAGATAATTCTATTAAGGAAGTGATTAATTATAGCAGTGTAAAGTTTAACAAAAATTAATTCTTTCAATGTTATAACTTATCACCCCTACTTTTTTGACAGTAAAAGTTTGTTAAACACTACACTTTTGCTAATTGTCAATTTTGATATGAAAAAAATATTCTTAAACTGTTAGTTTAAGATTACAAATAAATTGTGAGTTATTTGTAATCTAAATCTAATATTAAAAGAGTCCAACTCAAATGATTCACGGGTTGCCAATGTTGAAATGCTGTGTTAAATGTTATTCCAATGGCCCCAGAGAATAGAGAGAGGGGAATAGCTCCACTACCACCCTTCCTGGACTCATTCAGAGCGAACTCAATATATACCATACTATACAAGAGATACCACTTGAAATGTCAGACAATCACGTGTCAGTCTCATAAGACTGATCACCTCAGTCTTGTCTCCGTGAGGGGCAACAAGCCATGGGCAAATAAGACCCCCAAGTAAGCGGGAACCCTATATGAAATACTTGCTCCCAAAAACCATAACGTCATATTTTTAATTTAGAATAATCCTCGACCAATGTAGTAAAAAAAATAACAATAATTTTCAAATCGAGATATCGAAGCGCTCTCTTCCTTTCCTTGATATTAAAATGTACATTTAGCGTACTTAACTCATCAGTTAAAGTAAACAAATATCAAACCTGCACATGATATATACATATAAACATAAAAATATTTTTTATTTCATATATATAATTAAAATGTCTGTTTAAATTAATTTCAAAAATTATATGAATATACTGCGTATTTGTTTTCTGAATTCAATTAAAAGATAGATTTCTAATAAAAATATATATTCTAGTACCTTTTCTCCAACCTCTCCACGTAAATGCTTTAATTCCGGAAAATTTAAATTATACGTCAATTAAACACAGCGTTCGAATGATAACTGATTTATTGTCTACCTTCAATATAGTACACGTCTTCCCATAAAATAAAAAAATATCTGATAACTTAGAAACTAAAATCCAGAAAATATATTTTCATATGTATAATAACAAAATTTAAACCTAAATCAAACATTTTTCTCTCCACCAAAGTAAGTTTAACTGATTACAACATAATTAACTTATACAATTAATAAATGATTACAACTGTAATTATTATTTTTAGTAAATACTATTTTTTTAGGGTTTCGTACCTCATAGGGAAAAAAAAATAAGTCCTTTAAATTGCAAATTAAAGTGTGTCCCTATGCATACATAGTTGACGCCAATTGAAATAGTCCTCGGAGTTGTATGGGCGCTCATACAATTACAATTACATACTACCTAATGGTACGGAATCCCTCATGCCGCCTGACTCGCACTTGTCTAGTTTTTTAAAATATTTATTCCATCCCCTTCTTACGCAATTATCGTCGAAGTGCTCTTTGTGATCTTTCATTCAACTCTCTGGGTGATTTACGCATGTGTGTTGTAGAATCTCGTAGACTTGATTATATTTATTAATAAATTACCATAATTAAGACTAATAACTACCTTTCACTGCCATCTATTAGAATCTTACTGAACTCACAGACAACTATAACTCTTTATCAAATAATAAATTAACAAATTATTATTGGAAAAAAAATACATTGGATAAAACTGCACACAGTGTGCAAAATTTAATTAACATTGTTTCAATAGTTTAGGCGTTCAACGCGGGCAAACAACGTGACACGAAATTTTTATACATCTATATAAATAAAAATGAATCCCTATTTCCCTTTGTCACGCCATCACGCGTGAACGGTTGGACCGATTTCACTTTTTTTTGTTTTGTTGGTTATGATCATGAGAAGGTTCTTATGAAAGAAAAAATTTAAAAAATTGCCTGAAAAAGTCTAAAATCAACACTTACAAAAGGTTCGTAATAATACTTAAAAGTCAATTTGAACTTTAATACTATACCATAAAGCTTAAGTGTTAGTGGAGGGGTTCCGGGAAGGCAAAACAAGTGAGTGACTGTGGTAAAATGTTACTTGAAATGTAAACGTCTCTTTGCTGTGCATCACTACATAGTATCAAACAAAGTCGTCCCGCTGTCTGTCTATCTCTATGTATGCTCAGATCTTTAAAACTGCAAAACAGATCTTGATGCGGTTTTTTTACTAGATAGAGTGATTCAAGAGGAAGGTTCATATGTATAATACATTGCACCCGTGCGAAGCCGGGGAGGGTCGCTAGTATATAGTATATATAAAGATGTGAATAGTAAAAAATGTTTTATAACAGATTATATCTCTTATAAAACATTTACTGCACGTTGTATTTGTTTCGATTTATATGAAATTTATATTCATAAAAACATCACTTATTTTTCAATGACGGATTCACTCCAAATAGCTCTAAAGTAACTTTCCTGTGTGCGGAATGCAATGTATTTTTAAGTAGTAAAAAACGCTGGCAGCGGTCCGACACTAGAGTAGAGTTGTTTGAATGCATCAAGTACTACAACGAACACAGATTCTTTTTATAAAACGGCGCCGCGGGCACTTTTCTATAGCTTATTCAGTGTAACTTCCCCCAACAATCTTTTATGTAATTAATCGAATAGGTCTCTATTGAAACGTTGCATGTGCATCATATTCCTTTCAAAAGCGAAAACATGGATTATTAATAAGCAACCAGATTTCTTGCTGAAAAGAACTGCTGACTTTTAAATTAATTTATTTGTTTATTGTATGTTCATACGTATAAGGGAAATGTGAAGTAAATTTTCATCGTTCTTATATGAAACTTGTCCCTTGCTCGTGATAAAATAATAAAACACATAGATAAACGGGAAATGATATCAAGCTCAGTGTAACTTATTAAAACTCTATTTCTGTACACGTTTGATAAAGTTAACGTACTCGTTTCGATCCTGCGTTTCTATCAAAGATTGTGAGTGAGCGCTAAGTTAGTTAGAAAGTTCGATGTATGCATCTTGGATGATGGTACTCGTATAGGGGCAACTACTATCTTATACGATCATTTATAAGAACAGATGCACTACATTGAACGATATCAATCAGAGTTTGGAATATTAATAAAATAGTAGCTCCATTTCGATTAAATTATAAACATTATATTTTATATTTATGTAAGAATACTAGAAACCACTTTGAACGTATAACATCGCTTTTCTTAAGTATGTTTTTTCTATAGAATAAGCCTGACAGATATATTCGAGGACTCCGTTGCGTAGTGGTGAAAATTATTCTCTTAATTTTAATACTCAATTTAGGTGGATTAGATATATAATTAATTAAAAAAAAAAAAAACTTTCTTGAAATCTATTTATTAGACAACTGTATTATTCATTGTTGTTTAAGACTTTTTTCTATTTTTAACAAGGTGTTATAGTTTACAAAGATTACCTGTGGTGAACAATGGTACCGACTGCAAAAATTGTTAAATTTTGTTAGAGGTTAGGTAGGTTAGGTTATGTAGGTTTCAGGATTTGATTATATTAATATTAGTATTTTAAACTTCTAAGTGCTAATAGATTTTTTTGAAGTCGGTTCATTCTATTGTTATTTTTTTATTTTGTTTTATTTTTATTGAATTATTTTTAACACTTAGGTATTTTAAAATATGGGTAGACCTAGAAAAGACGCCTCTCGTATAAGAAAATGGCTCGCATCCTTACTGTAAGCCGTGAAGAAGTATCAATAGTACTCGACCTATATGATATCATATTCATCATATTCGACCACGACAATTACTTGGACCATAACGACATTACGGTGGTGACTCAAATATCCGGATAGCCTTTAAAAAATTCGCCCAAGTATCGTTATTTTGCTACTAAGAATTGAAGAGTTCCCTTAGTTTGTCATGGATGTCATAATCAGCTTTTTTTTTACGTGCCCCCCTCCGAAGGGCTGCAGTTAGAGTGGCAGCTAATCTAACTACCCTTGAAATGCCCTTTCCAATAAAATTGTTGAGTTGATATTGAGTTATTTGTCAATTTGTCGCGGAAATACTTAATGCGTATTTAAGACTTATATAGTTTTGCTCATGGATGCCATTATCAAAACTGGAAAATTGAAATGAGACCACACAGGAACCAGCAGCTGTCAAATAAAAAAGAATCACCAAATTCGGTTCACCCAGTAAGTTCTGAATTAACAAACATATAAAAATAAACTTTCGAATTGAGAACCTCCTCGTTTTTTGGAGTTGGTTAAAAATATTAATAGTTAAGATAGTCAATAAAAGAGAAATTGTATCCACAAACTCATACGTGCTAAACATGTGCTTAATTCTCAATTTTAAAAACTGAGAAAGATAGAAAAAAAAGAAAAGGTAAGGTCATAAAAATGGTCAAAAAAGGAAACATAAAACATATAATTTAATTAAACCAATCGGAATAAGAACAAAATTTAATTACCTAGTCTAAGAACTGGCGGGGAAAAACAAGGGGTATGTATCCTT